CTCCTGTGCTACTTGATGAAATAGACTGGTTTGAGGCAGCAAGTGAACCACTACACTGGCACAAGAGACACATCAGGACATTGGATGGTTGTAAGCCACAGTCCTGGGCTGACCTAAGAGTCTGGAAATAGCCTTCATGCTTCAAGAGCTGCCTTGAGGCAACAGGTCACCTTCACAAGTGCTAAAACCACTTCGAACTCCAGCACGCAGCCAGGCCAAGCCAGCTTTGAAACAAATGAGCCACAGAGACAAACACTTCCCGCTCAGCCCCAGAGATAAACTCTTCTTAGCCATCAAGTGGAAAAACACTGGCTTGCCTTTCACCTGAATCTCAAAAATCAATTTGGGAGTTGCAGCAGAATTGGGTGTATCCCTTTGTTTTCCTTTTTTAACTTGGGTCACTGGATAATGCCAACTTCTCCCTCAGGGGAGGGAACCCTTCAAATCAAAACATGGGATGCAAATCTCCTGGTAATGGGTGCCAAGCTCTTCTTTCCAGAATCCTTCCAAGGGGTGGCATGGGGGGAAAATAAATGAGAAGCAGATGGCAGGAGACGTGTCCCAGAGGAACGATGGATATTTCTGCTGTGACCCACCAGGGAAAGGTTTGGAAGCGCTGACACTTTTATGGCATTCTGTTTTATTGTGCAGAGCATTTTTTTCTTGTTAGTTATATTTTGGCTTCTCTGGATAACATATTTTTAAATGGCAAGAGACGTGTACCCTATGTACCCATCTGCAGCAACAGACACACAGCTAGCTGGCAAGGACTGAGCTGGGCATTACCTGGCCTAAATCACTACCAACACAGAAAATATCGGACTTAAGCCAGACAAAAAATACTTCCCACCACAGATTCTCCATTTTCATGGCATGGGCTTATCTATGATAAAAGACAGACGTGCCCACATGCTGCCTGCTGTCTTGCTCTTCTGATAGCAAAATAAAAGGGTCAACCTTGTTCTTGTTGAACACTGGCAGATTATCCTGTCATCATCAGATATGGAGTTCACCTCAGTTTCCTCTCTAACTGGCTAGATGGCCTTTTGTGAACCAAGTCATCTTCTTGTAAATTTGTGACTTTCCCAGGGACTTCCTTCTTATTTTTTTTTCCTCAGCCTGCTACAAGAACAGCCCTAAGCCATTTATCAGAAGACATCCAACAAGCAGCCCTCCTCTTCATCTAATTTCAGGTTGTCACAGAAGAAGAAAGAACTCACATATACCCTTGGCCTCTCTTCCCTTAATCTCTTTTAGTGCAACCTACAACCTTTACATCTGGACTAGAAGTCCCAAGACAACTCAGGTCAGGAAAAACAATAAAGCAGGGCAGGGCAGGGGTACCCTTTGCCTGAAGTCACAATTGCTATTAAAACCCAGCAGAGGATATAGATGTCAAGAGATGAAGACACGAAAGGAGAGATGTACAAAATTCCTCAATTTAGGGTGTGGAACACCTGGGGAACAAAGCACAACAGTAAAGAGCTGAGGGCAGAGGAACAATCTTAACATACACCCTATTGCCAGCATATGCCAATGACTTGACTAATTCATCAAAACAGCCAGATGAAAGCCAGGGACTGGCCTCACTGTGCACAGAGATTTAGCAGCTATCTGAAGAGAATGAAATAAAAACAACTCCTGCCTTTCAAAGCCGTTCTGGTTTTTCTCCTTACAAAAAATGATAAGACCTGCAGGATACCAGTAGAGATTCATGCCTTCCCATTTATTTTAAATAAAAATCATATGCCTGTAACATGGACAACTGGATAGAGGGGGGAAGAACAGATTAACTTTCTCATCTTTCCTTTTGCCCACAGGATATTTTGCTTTGCTGCAATGAGATCCTGCAGTCTCCAAACTAGATGAATGTGGAGATAATAGCTTAGAACTCATCCTTTCTCTATTGGCATCAGCAGCTAGTGAGCTCTAGCACTGTGGATGTGCTGCCCATCTATTCTGGTGCTGTGTAGAAGACAAAGTCTCCAGAAGGGACCCTTCAGGATGTTTGATGTTGCTGTGAGATGCTGGGAATCTGGATGGCTATCACTTTTGCAGAGGAAAAGCTCCAAAAGACTAAGGCACAGAACAAACGCGTGGAAGTGAAAGTGTAACTAACAGGAGTACTGGATCAGCTGCTTTTCTCAGCAGCCAAAAGATAAGCCTGGACCTCATGAAAGTCAAAGTCATTCTCTCCTCTTCAATGCTGTTTCACATGTTTTAGAGCAGCATTTTAACAAAGTTATGTAAAATAAAAAGATAAGAAGAAAAAAACATCAACATTTCCCCACTACACAATAGCAAAATGCTTCAGTGATTAGGTTCCAACTCTGGACTTCAGGTTTCTATGGTTTTAAAACTAAACTGACTCTGAAGTAAAGTTGAGGCAGTTACCGAGGCTTCCTGTGAGTAGCTGATGAACCACAACGGCCTTTTGAAGACTCTCTCCAACCTGCAGTACATATTTGTTTTCCCCCAAACCACTGAAAGCTGTTCTAAATCTGACAATGCAGAGTCTTTCTTAAAGTTCTTTTCACCAAGGATAGGTAGCCCTCATTAATAATTATTGTCACCGGTGCTGCTTTCCATTTCTGCAGAATCCTGTTCTTGTTGAAGGCCTTTCCAAGAGCTATCAGAAAGGCACCTTGGTATCTTTTGTGCACAAACATAATAAATAAGATCAGTACATAAACAATCTTAAGGGCTGAATCGTGACTAACAGTTAGTTACTGTAGGGTTGACCAGCCATAACTTCTGTTATTATCTTTGACAAAGGACACAACAGTGAACATGTTGCTTTTGTGTTGAATTGTTGTGTATGTGCCTTAGTGTTCTCTGATGAAGAACAAGAACTTTGTGAAGAAATACAGCTATAGCAAAACAAGCTTGTGGGATACAGTCTGAACCTTCCCAATCTCACCATCATTTCTTTCTGAAGAACCAATGCTTCTCCCCTGATTGAGTGCTAAGTCCAGCCCCCAACAGCCAAATATGACAGAGCAAACACTGAACTTACACTTGAAAAATACTGAATTATACAGCAATCAGGATGTGAACATAGGGGGAAAAGTGCCAGAGGATATGTATCCCTAGTCCATTAGTTTATTTGAAAGTATTTTACATTTTATTAAAGTAAAGCAGACAGGATATAAGCACTATAAACTTTCCCCTGAAAGTGAGCATTGCTGGCATTCCACTTGCTTAAATTATTACCTTTTCAAGGGCTGGTTAATCCTTGCCCCTCTTAGTTAACAGAGGAAATAGTATGTTGGGTGTTTCACTTCCCAGACCAAAGCATAACGGTGCTTCTGCGAGACTGGTTCTGTCTTTCACTATTTTTTTTCCCCTTTGGGAATCTATCTCCGTGTTCCTGGCACACAACTACATTTTCTCCCATGGGCAATATCTTGCTTGAAATCTCTTCTGACAACAGTCACATTTTCTGAGATGCATGATTAAAGAGACTAGCTTAAGCTTTTTACTAGAGAAACTGAAATGCAACTTACTTGTTTCCAATGAATTGGAGGGAAAAATAGTCTCCTTACAGAGGAATCTGCAATTTTATAAGAAAAATGAACAGGTCAATGATCAGAAAAGATGAAGTGGAAAGGAATATGAGTATTTTTTTATTTGCAAATGCCATCTTGACAGAATAGACTTGCTTTGCTGGAATATCTTCTCAGCAAGAGTAAATCATCCTGAAACTAGACTTGTATTTGGACTACGTTAGACCATTTCATTGAGCTTGTCATTGATTTGAATTATTTTCATACAAGTTAAAGCATTCTAGATACTGCTAAAACTACTTCTTAAGACATTTATGTCTTTATACAGAATGTATAGTTTGTTGTTCAGACTATAACAAAATGTTGAATCCCACTCACGTAGTCATTTTGGTATTTCAGAGTCAATATCTTGCAGTGGTTTCATTCTAAGTATTAAATGAGTTTTTAATTATGTGTGTCAATCTAAGATAATCTATTTGAATCCTCTCTGAATATCTGACAGAACATGAAATTATTTCTTGATAGCCTTACCATTAACATTCAGCTCAAGATTGATGCTAAACCAAAGGACTGCTCCTGCAGCAGACCTCAGTTTGGTCTTTTATTCAATGTCATTGCTGAAAAGCTCTTCAGCTTAGTTCTTCTCAGAAGCAAAAATCTGCCCTCAGTCACTGCTATGCTGCTAGGGCTTTTCTCCCATAATTTGAAACTTTGGGCTCATTTTCCTCTTTGGCAGGAAACCTATCCAACTGAAAGTTATTGGAAATTGAAATCCACCTTCACATCCTCTCCCTGTTGGCACAGACACTGCAGCTTGGATACAGGCACAAATATGGGGACAGGCAGAAGAAAGGTGCAAAAGGAGTCTGGGGGAAACAAGAAGATAATTTGCTTCCTCTGTCCTACAGATTTGAGCCACAGTTTTTGAGGTTAGAAGGACTAGGGCACTACAGAAAACTTAATCATTACTAGTAAATTGTATTCCTATCTTACACCCCAGCCACTCTCAAGATCAGTCCAAGATAGTGTCAGAAGAGCATATATTACCTACTGTATCTCAGCATTGTTACCACAGTTTTAAAATTGGCCTTTTAAGATTATGGGGGGCCAAAAGAATGATTTCTATTGAATAACTCTGAATTTTAAATAAGAGACATCCTCTTCCCCTTCTCTTTTGCTGCTTGCAGTGCAGGTGCAAGCTGACAGCTTCATGACTATAAATTGCTGCTGGAGCCATTGAAGCCTTCTCTTCAAAGCAGATGCTTGCCTTTTCTGCATGAGTAGCAAAACATGTGCTCTGATCGTCACCAGCTATTTTTAAAGGATGGATTTCTTCATTGCTTGTTTATAGCTTTATGTGCCGGAAAAAAAAAAAGAAATAAAAGAGGAGAAAAAAAAGTCTGTGAGGCAACATGCATCCTTTGGAAGCACTGGTAAGATCTTGAGAGTTACAAATTATCTGTTTTGCAGTATGAAATCAGAAAGCCAAAGTGCTAAAAAAGAAGAATATCACAGAGATCTTCAAGTTAAAAGTAAAGAAGTATGCCAACAGAAAAGAAGATTCCCCGTTAAAAAGTTTCAGGCCATTCTCCTGCAGCTGCAGGTTTCCTGACAACAGTCAACATCACATGCTCTTCAGCTATGAAGGAGTTCACTCCTTCCCAGGTCACTCAAGGATAACATCCTGAGACTCTGGACTCTGTTTTAAGTAATAATTTCACAGGCACTGTCCTTTCTACCGCAGACTCATTCCTCCAGATTGCTTGTGAAGACTCCCCAAGTTTTGCATCTGTAAGGAACAAAAAGAATGAAAAACAGAGAATGCCCCCATCAATGGCCTGTCATGAAACAGGAAGCTGATGCAAACAGCAGCTCAGCAATGAAAGAAGACAAAAATACAGTTGGAGTTGGATAAATTTGTGTTGCTTTTCAGCTCACTCACTGAAAAGGAAGGAAATAATGTGACAGTGCAGTATAATTATTGTTTTTCCACTGTCGGAGACACAGGACAACCACATTACTCATGCAGAGCCATGAGCAAAGCTGCAAAGATCCTCCCAAAACAAGTGGCAATAGAAGTTTTTTCCTCATCGTGCCATCCACAGAGTTAATGACACATTTTTGCTTGCTTCCCTTTGGATTTACATGGGTTCCTAGGCTTCTCTTCCCTTCCTTTGATGTTGATCACAGAAAAAATGATGTCACTCTTGACCACAGGTTGGCAACAGGAACAAGTGCAACATCAAGTGAATTTCATTAGTAATTAATGACACGTTTGCAGTGCATGCTTCAAGAGTGTAAGAACTTGTGCCCAGACTACTTGCATTTGATTCACTTTATCTCTTTCCTAATCAGTTCCATGTTGCCACCTGTCTCCCTGATCAATCTTGTTCAGTTCTATTCCCCTCCAACATATAAGAGGACAAAAGCCTGCTACACATTCACTGTTTCACAGTGTCGGATAGTTGAAAAAAAATTTTGTCTCTAGGCTCCTGCTTACCTATCCACATAATATAGTAAAAAGACATTATCATAGAATCATTGTGGTTGCAAATACCAGTAAGGTCATCCAGTCCAACTATCAACTCATGCCTGTGAACTCTCTAGACCATGGTACCACATGTACTCTTTTCTTGAACTCTCTAGGGATGGTGACTCCATCACCTCCCTGGGCAGCCTGTTCCAATGTCTCACCACTCTTTCTGAGAAAAAAATTTTCCTAATATCCAACTTGAACCTCCCCTGATGCAACTTAAGACTATTCCCTCTTGTTCTATTGCTGTTACTCAGAAGTGGCTGACCCCCACATCGCTACAACCTCCTTTCATGTAGCTGTAGAGAGTGATGAGGTCTCCCCTGAGCCTCCTCTTCAGCCCCAGACGATCCCAGTTCGCTCAGCCACTCCTCATAAGACTTGAACTCCAGACCCTTCACCAGCTTCACTGTCCTCTGGACATTCTCCAGGGCCTCATTGTCTTTCTTGTAGTAAGAAGCCCAAAACTTCCAGTGCCAAGCACAGGGGGACAGTCACCTGCCTGATCCTGCTGACCGCACTATTTCTGATACAGACAGAATGCCACTGCTTTTCTTGGCCACCTGTGGCATGATTTGGAAATATTTTTTATGTTCAGATCAATTGAATGCAATCACCAGCATATAACTCTGCTCCTACCGCCAGCTTCTATATTAAGGTTCATTATGTTGGGATTTACTAGGAAAACCATTACAGCACCTAATACAAACTTTTTGAAAAGCTGTGAGCTTCTCTCTACTAAAGGTAGAGGAGATCTCAGCATTACTGTACACAAAGGAACTTTAATTGGTCACTGTTCCTGCTCCTAGCAATGATTGTCTGGGCACTCGCCCCAGAAGTTTGCCCTTAAAGCAAAAGAAAAGAAAGAAGAGTTCTGGGTGATTCCTGGTGTTACCAGGATGGCCAGAAGCACAAAGGAGAGATTCCAAGGCCACATCCAAGCAGCAGCGCACACATCTGCATCCCCTCAGCTCCCTGAATACACTGCCTGCACCCAATGGCCACCGCCCAGCAGTTCCAGGTCTCAGCCACGTCAGCTCTCTGGATGGGGGTCAAGAGATTGTCACATCACCACAACTCTGCTGTGCAAGACATGTTTCCTTTTTTTTTTCCCCTGTATATATTTGCAGTGATTTAAGGAGTCAAATGATGAGAAGGTGCAGGAGCTAGAGTACTCGCATACTGCATACAGGATCAGTGGATAAGAACTGCGTGAAGGAAGTGAGCTATCCACCCACATGCAATTTGATTTCACGGCTTTTTTCTTTTTTTTTTTTTTTCTTTTTTTTTTTTTTTTTCTTTTAGCCATTGCAATAAAACATTTTTGCCCTGATCCCTCTCCCCTCCGCTGTGTGTGTGTGTCCATGTGGCCAGTTCCCTCCAGTGTTTATTCTGCTGCAGAGAAGTGCAACGATTTCTGGGCAGGATGTCCAAAGATAAATCTGGCTTGTGGTGAGAGTTAAAAAGATTACAGTAAGGTCTTGTTTACAAAAGAGAAGGATCAGCTGCTGTTCTTGGAGTTTGTTTAAAAATTCTTTTTTTAACCATCCCTTTTTGTGTTTAGGTTTGTTTCCCTTGTTAAATAAACACCCTCTAAAGTCTCCAATGATCACCTCTGTGTTGTGAGCAAGGAGAGAAGAGAGATTTTCGTATTGGGTCATCAGCTTCCTAGAAAAGGTTATTAAACATCAGAGAGGGGCAATATTAAATGCAATATGGGGCTGATCCATATAGCCTAGCTATTATCAGGCCTCAGCTGTGATATCAAGGCCTTGAGAGATGGGGTGGGGTCACTTAGATAACACGAGGATTTTCACACTCTATACACAATTAAGCACATCACTGTGATGCTCTGGATTCCTACAGCATAGCACCTAATGATCTGGACAGCCTGTTTCCACCTTAGCAGCACTAATATTGGACAACCAGAGCAACAACAAGGCCTCTGGCATATAAAACAGCTCATCCAAACACATGCATCTTCCCAGCCTCTTCAGCCTTGTCACCCTGAAGGGCTAATGAAACTTTGTGCAGAAAAAGTGATGAAGAGGAAGCTAATGCTGACCTCTGTTGACAAATTAATAGAAGAAAAAGTCAGCTTCTTACTCACTAAGTTCCATACTCTGTGAATCACTTTGCAGTGTAACTTTCTATTCTCCAGCATGGAGGATGCTTCTCCTTCTTCAGGTTCACACACTGCAGAGGCTGACACCATGACTAGTGCTTCTCTAGCTCACACTGAGCATTTACCAGTGTTCCCTCCATAAGCACAGCTCTCCCATTCGTTGCTTTTGGCTGGCTGGGGAAGGCAGAGCCACAGACTGTTGTTCAGTCCAGGTCCTCAGGGCTACTTTGAAATGCAGTTCATAGGACTCTAAGTCCTTCCCCAGCGCAGAAAGCCTTATTTCTTACAACATACAAAGGAGGTGCACGTGAATTCAGACAATTAGATCTATGAACTTGTATGGGAGAGAATAAACTGAATTTCAGTGCATCCCTCTTTGGAAGAAAACAGTAGTTTGCTTAGCTTGGATTCCCTAAAATAAAATAAAAGCAGATGACAAGGGAGAAGGTGAGTAGAATTCATTTTAGGAGAATAGTGTTAATGCATTCGAAGTTGAAGTAGATGTTGTTTTTCAAGAAAGCAGTGATGTGTTTCAGGTTCTTGAAGGCTGGTTCACTGTTAAAGCCATAATTAACTGCAGGGACCTGAATGTATTCATCAGTATATATGACCTCTTCACAAATGCTTATGAGGAATTAAAAAGAAACAGGGTGCAGCTCCTAAATGAAACAGAAGCTGCCAACATTCAAATTCCTCTCTGGATCAAGAACTCCACCTTCAACAGAGGACCTCATTTTGCAATTTCTCTTTCTCAAAAAATAGCAAGGCAATATATAGACTAATCTATACAGAGCTGACATGCAGTAATTTTTTACAAGCTAAGATAAAAATCTGGAAAGAGTGGGAAAATCTTTTACAAAATTATCTTGTCTCATATCAAGACACAACCAGTATGACTGACAGTTTAAGTTATGAGTGTTAACACACTTCAGCCAAGATCTTCTTTCATTTTCAGTTAATATATTTGTTCAATCAACCAACCAATTTGTTCAATTATTCAAGTATTCAGTGACCTCAGCAGTTATATACAATGTAAATTTATGCAAATAATTGAGTTAACTAGTAGCTTGTGGCTGAGGATGTGGAGGAATGCTCAAATACCCAAATATCACCCATTCTTCATGTGGCCTACAGATAATTTCTTTTTCTCTTCTACCACATCTTTGTCATTTCCATAGTGGTCAAATCAAGACATAAGTGATAATTTAAAGTCAAGACACAAGACATAGGAACAACAACAAAAAAATGACACTTTCTCAGGAAGCCTAATTGAAGCTTAATTCCATTCTTATTTTCCAGGCTGCCAGATCCGAATTTGTGCAAAGGCTTTACAAATACAGAAGCAATCTGTTTGCCTCATGCCAGCTCTTTACCTGAGGATAACATCAATCCCTAAAATCCTCTACTTACAATCTCCTTCCAAAGTATTGCCAAACAGTTCTTACACAACTACTAACAAGGCCAGTTAGCAATACGGTCGCCTCCGTATTTTACCTCTCCTCCTCCATTCTTTCTCCCCATTGGCTGGGACAAGCAGGGGAGGGAAGCAGAGAAGTTTTGAGCACTTTCTACTTTTCAATCACTAATGGAATGAAGCTGACAACCGTTAGGATTATTTTGATGGTGGAATTAAGCATCTGGACAAAAACTGGATATGACGGATTTTTCCCATTAAGGTTTTTGGTCTGAGCTCAAGATAAAACGATTACTAAAGCCTAATTGCCTTGTAATTGCAAAGTTAATTAATGGAATGTAGCTTTATTTACAACATATTCTCTTTCCCCAACAATTCAGAGCTCCTTCCCCTCCCTATCCTCTCCTTCCTTAAGCAGTATATTTCTGCTGAAACACTGACAAGCACTGGAGGATTTAATCAGCCACTTACTCTCAGAAGCTATAAGCAAATGTATTGATTTGAGGACTCACTAGTTAAGCCTCTGATCTAGACACCAGCTCAGGACACCTGAGGATATCACCTTGAAGTATTCCTCATGATTTGGAGTTGGTCAGCATGTGGAGCTTAATGCAGCTGCAGTGGTGATGACGACAGAGATATGTCATGACCCAGTCTCCCATTCCCTTTCATATGAAAGAGCTTGAATAGCCCACGGCCAAGAGAAGAGATCTGAAG